AGGTTCCTCTGCTCTGCTTAGCACTAGTTCATGTACAAGCTTCTCACTTTATTCAGTGTGTGGCTCTATCACTTTATGCATCTGTGTCTAGGGAGAATTCCTCTCAGGAGACGGACACCTGCAGTGGTGAGCACAGATGCAGGTGGACAATCACTCTGCCAGTGAAGAAATGTGTATATATCACTTACTGTTGTTCCAGACACTGTGCCAGGACTTTGGGGGACAGTGACAACAGCCTTGCTTCTCAGAAGCTTCCTGTGGCACCAGCACACACTCAGGAAGGGAGGTTATGCACATCTCTTCCCGCGCCTCCTTTAGTGACCGTACCGGGCAGCCCACCATGGCAGGGACAACACACCTCACATTTGCCACCTAAAGAAGCAAATGCTTACTTTGGCTCCTGGTTTTGGAGGATTCAGTCCATAGTCACCTGACTCCAATGCAGAGACAACACAGCAGAGGGGCATGAGGAGGAAAGTCGCTCAACTCATGACACCCAGGGAGCAGAGTACGGGAGAAGACGCTGATAGGAAGGAGCCAGGGGTTGGATATAGTTCCCTACATTGTATCCCCATGAGCCACCCAAACACACCCACAGCTGTGCTCTGCTTCTCTCTCCCCACCTCTCATGCCAATCAGGCTCACAATCAAGATAACCATCCCCCGACCTGGTGTGGGTAGCAAGAAATCAAACAGGGGCGATCCATGTACAATAGCACAATTGGCAAATCCTACAAATGAGTTTTTCTCCTGAGTGCCAACTTGTCAGCACAGGCTTCACACAGAACAAAGACATGAGATCACTGCACATCAGAAAAATTAAAATAGGGGCAAATGCTACAAAGTAATTTACGGGAGAGGATTCTTTATGTACAACAGGGCCTTTCTAAGAACATTTTTTTGAACAGGCTCTCTCTATGCAGTTCAGGCTGGACCTGAGCTTACTATGTAGCCCTGGCTGCCTTGAATTTGAGCCAATGCTGTCTCAGCCTCCTGAGTGCTGAGATTACACAAGTGCTCCATCCTACCCAGTTGGCGATGTAAAATTTTAACGGAGGCCTGGATGGTGAGGACAAACCAGTTATTCAGAGAAAGGAACAGAATAAGACCTACTGCTGTTCCACCAGGCAGGTTATGTAATGGGGAGGTTCCAGTGGAGGGCAATTGTCACATTAAGGCCATGTGTCATTGGGTGTGTGATACAGGCACATGGGTCTGCAGTACTGGATCATGGGCATGGTGCTAGTTGGAAGTGGATCACTGTGGGCAGGGCCTGGACATATACACCCCACCGGTCTTCAATACTGTGGCTTCCAGTGTGTCCCCCATGACCCTCTGCCATGGTGCCCTGCCTTGGAGACAGCCAACCACAAACTTTAAGCCAAACAAGCCTTTCCTCCTTGAACTGTGGGTCTTGGGTATTTTGTCGCAGCAAGCAGAAAGTAGCAAGCAAGGGTTTTGATACCAAACAAGTCAAGTCATTGCCATGACTGTACCCGACCAAATGGTTCACAAGACTTTGAAAATGGCTCGTGAGAGGAATTTGGACAGCTCTGGAGACGCCAGAAGGAAAAGCAGCCCTAGAATGCTAAGATGAGCATAACAGGAGATTCCTGTCATAGCTCAGATGACCAGAAGGTCAAGGTACCCATCAGTAAAGACCAGGCTCAGGAGGCTCTGTGCCAAGGACTCTGCTGGCAGTTGGATCCATACCATTTTATTATGCTGTGGCTCAAACTCCGTCTGCAGTTTCCTAACGTGCAGAGACATTTCAGGAGACTGAAATTAAGGGCAAATGGACAGAAACCTACCTCAAATTACAGTGACTGGCAATCATGTCTCCTCAGCCAGTTTTCGGGTTTGAGCCAGACTATAGGCCCAGGCCACTGTGAATGAAGGGATGCCCAGGTCCTCTTGAGGAATCCCACTGGTGCTCACCAATACCTTACATGGTCAATGTCCCATCTCTAAAGCAAGGACACTGTACTCTGGGAGAAGAAAAATGACCAGACAACTCGGGGACTGCTGGACACTAGCTTGGAACTAATGCTAATTTCACAAGATCCAAAACATCGCTGTAGCCCCCCACTAAGAGTAAGGGCTCATAGAGGGCAGGTGATCAAGGGTGGTTTACAGTGGGTCCTGTAGCTCCCTGAACCCTTCCTGTAGTTATTTTCCCTCATCTAGAGGGCGTACCTGACATAGATACACTCAGCGCTCCACAGAATCCTCATATTGTCCCCTAACCTGTAGTGTGAAGGCTGCTATGGCTGAAAAGACCAAAGGAAAGCCATCAGCATCATCCTGACCTGGTAAAATCGTACATCACAAATAATATCCTCTCCTACAGGCAGCCCAGGGATTAGCACCACTGTCAAGGACTTGAAGGATGCAGGGGTGATATTTCTTACCACCTCCCCATTTAATTCTGCTCTATGGCCTATGAACAAGGATAGGGCTTGCAGAATGATGATAATTGCACACTAAACCAAAGTGGTGATGCCCACTACAGCTGCTATACAGAAGTGGCTCCTCTGCTTAAGCAGATTAACACATCTCTGGGTACTGATACAGTTCTTGATCTGGCAAATGTCTTCTTTTCCATATCCATCCAAAACATGTGCAAGAAACTTTCAGCTCACAAGGCCAGGAAGACACCTTAACTTAGCTCACAGGGATACTGATCATTTTTCTGTCCTATAGGGGATCACACTGGCCCATTACACTGAAGATACTATACTGACGGACCATGTGAGGAGGAGGTAGGAATCACTTTGGACTTGCTAGCAAAGCATTTGTGAAAATAAGCACAGGAAATCAATACAACGAAAATTCAAGGTCCCTCCACCTCAGTCAAATTTCTAGGAGTCCAGTGGTGTTGGCAACCAGGGATTTCATTTCTAATGTGAAAGTTGGAAACCCTCTGGCTTTCCCTAAGGCCAAGAGAGGCACAACACCTAGCAGGCCTGCATTATGAAAGCAACAATTCCTCCAATAGGTATTTTACTCCAACGCATTTACCGAGTGCTGAAAGCTGCTGGCATTGAGTAGAACACTGTGCAGAAGGTCCAGGCTGCTCTGCCACTGGGGCCGTAAGCTCCAGCAGACCACATCTGGCCTGCAAGGAGAAATCGCCAGACCTGCGACTATATATTGGTTCCTGGGCTGCAGCCAATGGTCCTGCAGAAGTCCAAAACCTGAAGGGATCACCGGAAAACTGGTGACAAGGATATCTGAGGAAGGGGAATGTGGACAGACCTCTCCATATGGACAAAGATACAGATACTTGTGCCCCATGTAAATGCTCACAAAAAGGTGACCTCAGCAGAAGAGGACTTTAACAATCCAGTGGATGGGATGACCCATTCTACAGACAGCTGCCAACCTTTTTCTTCAGCCACCCGTCATTACGCAGTGGGCTCATGAATGAAGTGGCCATAGTGATGCAGGAGGAATACACCCACTCAAGCGCCCAACATGGAAAGAGCGCAAAGCACTGCTGAGTCCCCAGTATGGCCTCATTGCACTGCTGGGTTTATAGCTGACTATAATGCTACAAGGTTGAGAAGAACTGGAGCACTGTAGGCATAGCCTGGGGATAGATGGAGGGCTGGCTAGATAGACAAGATACCCCTTGCCTTGAGCACTGTGGCTTTCCTCCTGCCATGCCTTGGAGCCAGTCAGCTATGAACTGAAACCTCTCCAAAATGAGGTTAAAAAAAACCCTTTTCCCGTTTGACTTGTGGGTGTCAGGTATTTTGTCCCAGCAATGAGAAAGTGATTAAGGTCACCAATCATGACCAGTCGCCCAATAAAGTTTTACACTGACCCTTCAATCACTTCCTTGGACCTAAGCATGGTAAACATACTGCTCTGTGAGCTCTGGATGATCCATCATGGAGGAAAAATGCATTTGGAAGCCAGGCCGTGGATTCCTTCCCACTTTTCTGAGTCTTTTCCCTATTATCCCATGTGTATTTTTACTACACAGAGGGAATAAATCTTAGGCATGACCATGACAAAATTCTGACTCCCATGATTCTGGGAATCTCTGGGGGCAATGATGCCCTTAGAGATGCTGAGACACAGGAGTAACAGTATTACAATGCTATAATACATGAAAAGCATTTACCACAACGCTCAGATCACACTTAAATTCCCAAAATGAAATGGCTAACTTTGTAAACCTGAGCAATTGCCTTACAAGTCAAAGGATGGAATTCCAGGAAAAAAGGAGGAAGTCAGGCAAGTATTTATCAGAAGATGAGAAACTGTCCTCTGTTGAGAGGTCCGCAGCAGGTTGGGCCTCAGGTCCAGAACTTCTTGGAGACAAGCAGAGCCTTGGAACTTGCTCCATTATGTAATGGCCACGTACTGAAATGGCCACGTCACATCAGCACCCTGATGTGACCAAAGGTCATTTAAAATGACCAACTGGGACTCAGGCTCTCTAAATCGCTTACTCAGTGCAAAGTTTAAAAGAAACAAAGTTTAAAAGAAAAACTGTATTGTGCATGTTTTAAGTTCCTCAGCCCTAAATGTGGCGGGGGTTGAGTGAGGAACTCCCCAGGCAAAGATGGTTTCACTACTGCTTCTTTCCAATGCTGCTGCCCACCTAGTCTCAAGCCCTTTGTCATGGCACCTGCCTATTCACAAGCAAAATGATCAAACTTCTTTTACAAAAGGAAGAAAAGTGCTATCCTTGGCGGCAATGCAGATGAGCAGCCTAGAACACAGGACAGGAGCTCAATGCCGATCTGTTCAGTTTGCACTGTATCACTGCGCCCGTCCCACTAGGAGTCCATCTCTCAGGCTCCCTGCAAATGCACAGCACATCGCCTCTGCAGGATTGTTCCACCACAGGCAAGGACTCACGTTCAGCCTTATGTAGTGACACATCCAAACAGGGAAATGAGGGGCTGAGGACTTAGCTCCTGGGTTCAATCACCAGTATCAAAAAAAAAAAAAAAAAAAAAAAAAAAAAAAAAAAAGGAAGAAAAAGAAAAACCAGCGAGATGAAATTTAATGGCCCCGATCAGGGCAGGACTGAGGGACAGAGTTGACAGCAAAACACATATTTGCCTTTTATGTCCCATGGTGGCTTCAATGTCACTGCTACATACAAGTGAAGGGAAGGAAGCAGGCCAGCAGTGAGCGCGGTGAACCTGCAGCTATGCTGACAACCAGATGTCATGCAGCCCTCCTGGAAAAAAGAACCATCTGGAGGAGGTGGAAAGGAAGAGAAGCCATCAATGACCCTGGCTCATAGTGAGATGACAATTAACTTATCTAAGGCTGAAGTAATCTCTCCCCTGCACCGACAGTTCACTGGCACCACTTACTGAAGGGCTGCAGTAGGGAGGAGGTGGTGTCCGCTGGGGTGACAGCGTTTCAAACTCTGAAAGAGCCAGAAAAGACTGGGCTGGGGGAGCTGCATCCAGACTGCACACCAGCAGAGAGCACCAAGGCCCGCGCACAACCGGGATTGGGTGGGGGGAAGGGGGCTTGCCTCATTCCCCACCAGGTGCTCAGAATTTCTGCTCAGATACTAAAAGCAAAGTCAGGAAGAAAGCGCACTGAGACGCGGCCTAGATAACGCGCAGCAACCCCAGCCTGTGGAACATGCAGGACCACAAGGAGCACAGGGCCCCGCGCCACGGCAGGAGGCCGCCCCCGCCCGGGCCGTGAGAACCGACCGCAAAGGACGCCGGCAGGAGGGAAAGGACAACCCTCCGCCTACTCCCTCAGGATGGCTCCACGGATCGGCTCGCACAGCTCACGGGGAAGCCAAGTAGGCGCGACCAGCCACCACAGACCGTGAGGACACTTCCATTGCGCCCCTGGGAAGCCCTCCCAGCGTCCTTCACGGCAGGCCGGAAGTGCACCGCAGCCGCTCTTCCGGTGCCAGGGCTCCGCCGCTCTAGGCCGCGCCCTCTATAGCCCTGGGTGTCTCTGGTGGGTTCTGGCCGCCCCAGTAGCTTGGCCTTTGGCTCTCACCGAGCAGAAACCAGGATGAGGGAACGCGCACAGAAGACAGTGCGGAACTCTGTTCTCTGCCTTGGCAGCCGCGTCACACGTCCTTGAATTGCCAAGGAGCGAGGAGCAGCCTGCCCTTCCCGCCCGCGCCGCAGGAAGCTCAGCCCTAGTTGGGTCCTTGGATCCACCCTTGTCCTTCCTTGGTCCCCAGAGGTAGCCGCCTCTCTCTGGGATAGGACGAAGTACCTGCCAGTAGGAGCCCAGTGAACTGGAAGGCCCTGCTGGAGGATGCTGCAGTGGGGATGAGGAGGGAAAGAATGAAGAAAGGTGAAGAATGAATGTAGCCTAGGTTGGCAGCTCCTGTCTGTAATCCCAGCAATCCGGAGGGCGAGGCAAGAGGATCTTTACAAGTCCAAGACCATCCTGGGCTACAAAGTAAGGGCGAAAACCGGCCTGAACTGCATAGCAAAAATAAACAAACAGATAAACCTGGAGTGCTGGCCCACACCTGAAGCTGAAGGATGGACCTCAAAATACAAATTAAGAAACGCACTGGAGAAATAGCTCTGCAAAGACCCCAAGTCCAATCCCCAATACCAATAAACATAAAAGGACACTCCACCATTAATAACTAGGGAAAAAACTGCTTTGGTGGATTTGGACAGTTTATGACTGAATCCCAGAGCCAGGGAAAGCTGACAGTACTGAACTGTTGTGCTTGCAGTGAAAAAGGGCTTCCTGTGCTATGCACAGAAAGACCTCAATAGAGGCCCAAGGCCAGGGTCTCTGCCACCTCTGTCTGCATGGGACAAAGCTATGAAGACTTAGGGGTGTCAGGGCTGCCTCAGCTGGGCCTGAACCCACACAGTAACCATGATGGGGGGGCTACAAAGCTAAAGTTTGGTGCACACGTTGCAGCATTGTGCCTGCACGCTGACTCACCCTGAGCACAGCTCTCCTGGCCCCTTGGTGACTGTTTCTGGTCACTATTGCCTATGGCCGCTGTACCCCCCAACCTTGTGGTGGAGGAGTCAGGCAGAGTCCTTGTGCTTCCACTTGCAGAGTCCTCAGTCCAGAAGGTCAGTCCAGAACCCCTGGAGGGGGTTCATTCACACCGCACCCTCAGGGGAGTCAGTGCCTGTCGAGCTGCACCACTTCCTAGGGCCAGCATCCACAATCCTGCGTTGGCCTGTCCATAGTAGCTGTGTACCAGCTCTCCTGTCTGACTGCACAGTAACAGACCAAGCTCCACTACTCAGCACATGGGAGAACAAAAGTGAAAATGAACTTGGAAGAGGACTGGGGTTGGCACAGGGCTGCCATGGGCCCTGGGAGGAGCTGAGGTGACCGCCCCCGTGGAGCACAGCCAAGTAAGTTCTTCCCATGTGTTGTTTCCACCTCTGGAATTGCATCTATGGGGCATTGTCCTCTCCATTTCACAGGTGAAGGAATGGGGCACAGGGAGGGTGGGTCACATGACCTGGAGACCAATGAAGAACAGGAGCTATGTCACCCGTTTAGGGAAGTTAGGCAGGGATGTGGAACTGTGTGCACACAAAACATACTATAGTAGGTGAGGTAGGAGATGAGAGAACGTTGGAATAAACAGAAACAGGGTAAGTCTGTCAAAGTAGGGGACATGGGCAAGTGTTTGGTGTCAAGAGACAGTGCAAGGGAAGAGTCTGAAAAGGCAGACTGAGATGTGTGCCGCTCAGGGGGCTGTGCCCACAGATTCCTGCAAGTCACTTCCCGTTAGTACACTTGGCCTCATACTAAGTTAGCAGAAGGCTCATTTGTCACAACTGGCATTGACAGAACAAAGTCCAGGGGGGCCGACCTTTCTGTGCCCCACTATTAAAGGCCTGGTGAAGATCTCCTGCTGCCAGACAGGAAGCATCTGTTCACATCTGCAGCAGCACAGCCATGGTGATGTGGGGCCTGGTGCTGGCAGCCGTGCTGGTGGCCACCTTGGGCTACCTGTGTCTGCCAGGGCTTTTGAGACAACGCAGGCCCCAGGAACCCGCTCTGGACAAGGGCCTCATACCTGGTGTTGGCCATGCCATAGCTATCCGAAAGAACATGCTTGAATTCCTGAAGGCAATGCGAGCCAAGCATGGGGATGTGTTCACCGTGCAGCTTGGAAGCCATTTCTTCACTTTTGTCATGGACCCCCTCTCCTTTGGTCCCATCATCAAGAATACAAACAAGAACCTTGACTTCATGGAGCACGCAAAAGAGCTGGTGAGAAAGGTGTTTGGATATCAGCCATTGAAGAGCTGCCACCAGTTGGCACACTCTGCCAGCACCAAGTACCTCATGGGGGATGGCCTGGAGGACATGAACAAGGTCATGCTGGACAACCTGTGCCTGATGCTGCTGGGGCCCAGAGGCCCAGAACAGGATGCCAGCTGCTGGCGAGAGGATGGGCTCTTTCATTTCTGCTACAATGTCCTATTCAAGGCTGGTTACCTGAGCTTGTTTGGCTGCACCAAGGATAAGGAGCAGGACCTGCTCCAGGCAGAGGAGCTATTCAGGAACTTCCGCAGGTTTGACATTCTTTTCCCCAGGTTTGTCTACTCCCTGCTGGGGCCTCGGGAATGGCTAGAAGTGCGCCAGCTGCAGCGTGTCTTTCACAAGACGCTCTCCGTGAGTCACAACTCGCAGAAGGACGGTATAAGCAACTGGCTGAGCTACATGCTCTGCTATCTGACCGAGTGGGGGACCAGCCCGGAGATGCTGGGGAAGTTCAACTTCACGATGCTCTGGGCCTCACAGGGGAACACAGGGCCCAGCTCATTCTGGGTCCTCCTTTTCCTCCTGAAGCACCCAGAAGCCATGCAAGCTGTGAAGAAAGAGGCCACCCAGGTCCTGCAGGGGACCAAGCTGGAAGCCAAGCAGCCCTTTGCCTTCCAGGTCAGTGCCCTGCAGCATACCCCCATCCTGAACAGTGTGATGGAAGAGACTCTGAGGCTGGTAGCTGTGCCCACCCTCATCAGGGCAGTGCAGGAAGACTGCACCCTGAAGATGGCCAGTGGGTGTGAGTACCTGCTGCGCCGAGGAGACAGAGTGGCCCTCTTCCCCTACCTGTCTGTGCACATGGACCCTGACATCCACCCCGACCCCTGCACCTTCAAGTACGATCGGTTCCTCAACCCCGATGGCAGCCGGAAAGTGGACTTCTTTAAGGCGGGCAAGAAGATCCACCACTACCTCATGCCTTGGGGCTCGGGCATGTCCATGTGCCCAGGGAGGTTCTTTGCCCTCAGTGAGATGAAGCTATTTGTTCTGCTCATGGTTACGTACTTTGACCTAGAGCTGGTGGACCCCAATACCCCAGTGCCCCCTCTAGAGCCAAGGCGCTGGGGCTTTGGCATCTCACAGCCAAGCTATGAGGTACGCTTCCGCTACCACCTAAAGCCCATGGACTGAGCTTGGCCAATCCTGGCTAGCAGGGACCCGCCGTCTCCCACCTCTGCTCAGCCCTCTGCACTCCCTCCTCCCCTGGCCAATCCTCCCCCAAGTTGGGCGCGCCCCTCCCTTTGTCCTGGCTGCCTCATTCTCTGGGTCTCCTGGTCCATTGCACAGGGATTCTGCAGAGCCATCCTGGGGCAGAATGTGCAGTGGAAAGGGAGTGTCAGGGTCTGGTCCATGGAGCAAGAATCCCTGCTTCCCAAGCCCCATGAGTGATGCTGCACCCTGCGAACCTCAGGCTCTATCCTCTCACCCTATTCTAACCCACATTCTATGGCCTCAGGTTCCTAAAAGTATTATACTATACTCAAGTCACAGGAACAATTTTAAATTTCTTAGTAGACATGCTTTGGGTTTTTTGTTTTTGTTTTTGTTTTTTGTCTTTTTGAGACAGAACCTTGTTAGGCAGTTCAGGCTGTCCTTAAGCTCACTTTGTGGCCCATGCTGTTCTTGAATTTGCAACGATCCTCATGCTTTGGCCTCTCAAGGGTATTATTACAATTAGACTTGGCTTTAAAAAGCCACAAAAGGCCAGGGATCTAGCTCAGCAGCATAAGCACCTACCTGGCAAGCACTCTGTGGTGAGTTCAATCCCGGATACCTCCGCAAAAAAACCCCAAAAGCATAAACATCATTTTCACCATACATTTAAATAGAACTGGGTGCTTCCAAATTACTGAATTTTGACACATGACCTTGTAAGAATATTAACTTTGCTGTTCTTTTGCCCCACCTTGGAAACCGGGCTGTGCTTTATTCCTGCACCAGTGCCCCCACCCCCAGCTACATCACAAGCACTCATACTGTCTGTTGGCTGGGGACTGCCTGTGATGTCTCAGGTGTTGAGGGTCTGCATGTGCTGACTTTGTCTGCCATCTGCCTGAGGCCCCTCAGGCCACCCCTGCTGCCAGCCAACTGGCCCTGCAGGCCCTGCAGCTCTCTCTGCACTGGGGCCTCCTGGCCTGAGATAGCACAGCCTGCAGAGGCCCCTTCCCCAGTCCTCTGGTTGCCACCCTTTTGCTTTCTGCCTCCTATGACTGCCACCCCTGAGGTTGGAATTGTGCCGCAGTGGTCCCCAGATTTCCCCACCAGTGTGACTTGGGGAGAACACCCCTCGAGTGGGGGCACAGTCCGGCTGCCTGCCCCAGGGGCTGCTGCTCCTGGAAGCCTTCTGGGATGGCTCCCATCCGGTGCCCACAGCCTCATTCTCCCTGGGTTCCCATCCCCTCTCTGGAACCCAGTACCTGTCCGGTGTCTCTCTGTACCATGTCTTCTCCTCCTGCCCTGGCCTGGAACCCACCATGTTGTGATACCATTTTTGTTCTCCTGATCCCACATCCCTTGTGTACATTAAATGACAGCACCATGGCCGTCCTGGTGTGTGATTGGCTCTGTGTCCTAACTCCTTCCCCCCTCATGCCAGGGTTGGTGTGACCATCTGTGGGTGCTAAAATCTGTGCCGTGGCAGGGACTGTGCACACAGAGCTCACAGGGGCAGCCACATTCACACTTAGGCACACACACACACACACACACACACACACACACACGTTCACCCAAGCTGGTGACAACCCAGTTGGGGATCTTAGCATTTCTTGCCCCACCCACCAACATTTTGGGCATGAGTCCCTCTGGTGCCAGGCCATGCCAGGACTGCTCAGGTTGTGCCATATGCCCTCTGACCTCTGACCTGTGAGCAAGGCACAGCTCACTTTGGGGAAGCACTTCTGGAGCTCTAAGCAGAAGGCGTGTTCCCTGCCCCACAACACATCGCACCCTTCAGAGCCAGAGCAACATGCCAGGGAACAAGGGAGTGAGGAGGCCATCCCAAATGGGGAGCCTGGGTTTTGGAGACAGCACAGAGAGCAGAGATGGAGGACGCCACTGGAGGACGCCAGGCTCCGGACATCCATGCCATGGGACACTGGGAAAAAAGATGGGAGAAAAGACAAGAGAGGACAGAAACGACACAAATGAATCCTCTACTTACTAGGCATTGATTCAAAAACAAGTAAATATATTTATAGAGAGGGAAATTTTAAAAAGAAACATGCAAAGGACAAAGAACAAGTCATACAACTATTCAGTGACAGTTATAAAACTACTCAGCATAGGAAAACACAAGGAAGAGAGATAATATCAGGGTCCTAGGATCACAGACCTCCTGCTCAGGGCTATGACAACAGAAGAAAACACAGACAGAGCCACATTTTAGTTACAAGGGCACCAGGATAGTCAAAGAAGGACGGCCAGGCACGGTGTCTCTGGGCTCTGAGAGGGGCACAGCATGGGCTGGGTGGGGTCCTGATGGGCTGGGGGAGGGAAGTGGTGGGGGAGCTGCTGACACCGTGAAGGTTCAAGAATCCAGGCTCACCGCGATTTTGGAATAGCACAGAGGAGGGATCGTGGCCATCTGTTTCCCTGGGTGTGTGCTGCCTGCCGAGAGTGAGCTAGAAGGAGTCTGCAGGGCTCAGCCTCAGCCGTGGTGATCTGGCTTTGGGGGCCTGAACTTCACCACCTGCCCCTCCCTGCTCTACCACTGGCTTCACCTGGATCTGCCCCAGAGCACCTGCAGGTCTCCTGTCAGGAGGCCCAGGACAGAGCCTCAGCTCATATTTGTGCCCATTTATTAACATATTTGCTGTCTTCTTTCCACCACACGAGGCTGGCCCTCAGCCAGATGTGACACTCCTTGATCTTCATTTTCCGTCATGTTTTCAAAAATGAACAAAAAGAGATTTTTTAAAAAGAGGAAAGAAAAAAGACCTCAGCAAACACCTACCACACCATGAGCACTAAAGGAGGTGCAAAGGTCACTGATTTTGCTTTTGGCAGGGTCCCTAGTCTCCCGTGCCCACCTCCCCTGCATCTTTGATCCCCCTCCAGCACCCTTCATCCCTCCTCCCCTGCATCTGGCTGTCCTTCTGTCATGCAAGACAAGTCAGGATGGGACAAGGCGCTACATGGTGCCATGAAGCATTGCATGCTGTAGAAACCTGGGGAGAATCTTGTCACTTTGGCCCAGGTCCTGCTCTCTAGCAGGGGACAGGAGGATGGCAATGTGGCAGCCACGGAGAAGAAGCACAGAGCCAGCACTGTGGGTTAAGAGGGCAGCCCGACCCCACGAGGGAAAGGCATGTATGGGTTTGGGCCACTCTCAGTGCAAGGGCAGGCCGAGTGTGACCGTGCCCGATTCTGGGGCTGGCCTCTGTCCCCACCTCTCCTGTGCTGTGCCAGCCCCTGGCCCTCTGAGGTTCAGGGGCTATGGGAGCTGCCTGGAGTACTACTCAGCTATGAAGAAAGATTGCACTGAGATTTTTATAAATAAATACACGTGACTTCAGGCCATACTCAGATGTCAAATTAATCAAACTCATATGTGTGAATACCATATTGTCTCCTGGGGTAAGAAAATGAAAGAGTAAATAAGATACCAAATGTTCAATAAACATTGTGAAAGGGTAAAAAACTGCAAAGATCAAAAAATAACTCGGGGCAAAGGAGAACAGAAGGAAGGGAAAAGAAAAGAGATACAAATTTGTATATGCACACTTAAGTTAACCAAGATGATTATGCTACTGATTCTGTTAGTTCTTGAAACGAAATAGTTAACATTCATGGGATTAGATCCACTGCATGTTTACACCTGGGAATCTGAGTAACTCTTTTGAAGATAACTATGCCACATAACAACCTTAGAACATACAAATTTTAATTCTTTGTATGTTCCTACCACTTTGTCTCGAGAGCCTATATTGCCATTGTTTTGGGCTCTTTAAAGATTATTTGTCTCTTTGGTTTCTTGTTTTTCTCATAATTGGTTTTCTTTTGTTTAGTTTTATTTTGTTTTGTTTTCCTCTGACATAGAAAGGATAGATGTGCTTGTACTGGCTCACAGATGCCTAGACCTTGTCCTACAGAGTTCACAAGAACGAATTTTGTTGCATGTGAGGCTATGAGCAGCTGCTTTGAAGAAAATGAGACATTACGGTAGCCATTGCTCATTGCCTATCATCTTGATGCAAAGTGAAGTTATGTTTTTATTCTTTGTTTTGATTTTATTCTGTTTTGTATTATTCAATTTCAATGCACCTGAAGCTATGGACAGCTATTTTGAAGAGAACAAGAGAAGTAATCATTGTCGTCTTTCCTATTGTCTGGTTTTGAAGGCCAGTGCTGCTATCATTCTTTACTTTTGATCAGTTTGAAGCTATTTTGTTTTATTGGAATTCATGGTGTGTGAAGATATGGACAACTATTTCAAAGGAAACTGTGATAGCTCGGACCCTGGAATAAAACCCAAGGAAGCAAGAAATTAAAATTTGGGGAGCAAAGGCTTTATTTTAGGCCAGGCCTGGCGACGCAATCCCCAGGAGCCAATTTGGAGACTGCATGCCTGACAGCTAAAAGTCAGGGCTTTTATCTTGTAAAACCACAAACAGCTGCTGGTCACACAATGCAAGGAGAGGGATGGGGTATGGCACACTATAGAACAGGAACATGGCGATTACATTGGGAAGAGCAAAGTTCAGATAAGGGTTGGGCTAACAAGCAAGTCTTCCTGCATACAAGCAAGTTTAGATTGGGCAAACATCTTCTTTCTCTCAGCAGAGAATAGAGAAGTCTAACAGTAATTAACAACCCCTGTTAGCTTATTTTAGCACCACATCTGTTATTTATAGAGGGCAACAATGGTTAACATATCAATTAGGCAAGATTTTACAATTTTTACAGAGGAGGGCATTTCTTAAAGAACAGCACATTTTATTACAGATAGCTGGATGAGGGGTAGGGGAGGGGGTTGCAGGAAACTGAAACCTAAGGCTTTTACAGCTTTCTCAGAAAATAGAAACTTAACCTAGAAAGATAGGAAGGGAGGGAGGGGGCCGAGCGGTGCATACAGAACAGAAATGAGGCGCAATGGTTAGAACTAGGTTATAACAGAAACAAGAGATCTTGTGATGACCACTGCTGATTTCCTACTGCCAAGTTTTGAAATCCTGCCTTGATTGCATTGTTTTTTTTCTGATTTGTTTTGTTCTGTTTGTTTGATTCTATTTAAAATAAAAAATAAAAATAAATTTTAAAAAAGCAAGAAGTACTCAACAGGATGGCTATGGAATGGGGTCTCCATCTCCTCTGTCTGCATGGGACAAAGCTAAGAAGATTTAGGGGTGTCGGGGCTGCCTCAGTTGGGTCTGCACCCCACACAGCAGCCATGATGAGTGTGGTGCACACGTTGCAGCTTTCTGCCTGCATGCTGACTCACCCTGAGCACAGAGCTCCTGGCCCCTTGGTGACTCCTTCTGCTCCCTGATACCTATGGCTTCTACAACACCCAGGCTCCGGCCTTGTGGTGGAGGAGTCAGGCAGAGTCCTTGGGCCTCCACTTGCAGAGTCTTCAGTCCAGAAGGTCAGAGGCCCTGGAAGGGGTTCATTCACACCACATCCTCAGTGAACTCAGCGCCTATCCAGCTGAGCCTCTTCATAAAGCCAGCATCCAGACTCCTGCGCTCTGGGTTGGCCTGTCCATAGCAACTGTGCACTGGCTCTCCTGTCTGACTGCACAGCACCAGAAGCAGACTGGACTGCAGCAAGGTCCGGCCCTAGCACACTGGAGACCAAAAGCAAAAATGGACTTGGGTGAGGCTGGGGATGGCACAGGGCTGCTGTGGATCCTGGGAGGAACAGAGGTGGAGCACAGCTAAGTAAGTACTTCCCAAGGGTTGTGTTTCCACCACCAGAAGTGCATCTGTGGGGCACTGCCCTCTCCGTATCACAGGTGAAGGAATAGGGCACAGGGAGGGTAGGTCACATGATCTGGAGGCCAGGGAAGACCTGGAGCTCCAGCCTTTCAGAGAACAGGAAGACACAGAGATGGAACTGTGTGATCCCACAGCGCCCTCTCCTGGGTGAGGTAAGAAACGAGGGAACATTGGAATAAACAGACACAGGGTAAGTCTGTCAAAGTGGGGGAATGGGCTCAAGTTAGGCAGTCAGAGACAGTGCCAAGGCAGAGGCTCAAAAGGCGGAGTCATCTGTATATCACTGGCGGGGCTGTGCCCACAGATTCCTGTGAGCTACCTCCCATGACCACACTTGGCCACGTACTAAGTCAGGGGAAGGCTCACTTATCACAACTGGCATTGACAGAACAAAGTTCAGGGGGGCCGAATTCTCTATGCCCCACTATTAAAGGCCTGGTGAAGATCTCCTGCTGCCAGACAGAAGCATCTGTTCACATCTGCAGCAGCACAGCCATGGTGATGTGGGGCCTGGTGCTGGCAGCCGTGCTGGTGGCCACCTTGGGCTACCTGTATCTGCCCACACTCTTGAGACAACGCAGGCCCCAGGAACCCCCTCTGGACAAGGGCCCCATACCTGGTGTTGGCCATGCCATAGCTATCCGAAAGAACATGCTTGAATTCCTGAAGGCAATGCGGACCAAGCATGGGGATGTGTTCACCGTGCAGCTTGGGAGCCATTTCTTCACTTTTGTCATGGACCCCCTCTCCTTTGGTCCCATCATCAAGAATACAAACAAGAACCTAGACTTCAGGCAGTTCGCCCAAGAGCTGGTACAAAAGGGTTTTGGATATCAGCATGTGAAGGATGACCGTCGTCTTGTGCCCTTTGCTAGCACCAAATTCCTCATGGGGGAAGGCCTGGAGGACATGAACAAGGTCATGCTAGAAAGCCTGTCCCTAGTGCTGCTGGGACCCGGAGGCCCGAGACAGAATGCCAGCTGCTGGCGAGAGGATGGGCTCTTTCATTTCTGCTACAATGTCCTATTCAAGGCTGGTTACCTGAGCTTGTTTGGCTGCACCAAGGATAAGGAGCAGGACCTGCTCCAGGCAGAGGAGCTATTCAGGAACTTCCGCAGGTTTGACGTTCTTTTCCCCAGGTTTGTCTACTCCCTGCTGGGGCCTCGGGAATGGCTAGAAGTGCGCCAGCTGCAGCGTGTCTTTCACAAGACGCTCTCCGTGAGTCACAACTCGCAGAAGGACGGTATAAGCAACTGGCTGAGCTACATGCTCTGCTATCTGACCGAGTGGGGGACCAGCCCGGAGATGCTGGGGAAGTTCAACTTCACGATGCTCTGGGCCTCACAGGGGAACACAGGGCCCAGCTCATTCTGGGTCCTCCTGTTCCTCCTGAAGCACCCAGAAGCCATGCAAGCTGTGAAGAAAGAGGCCGCCCAGGTCCTGCAGGGGACCAAGCTGGAAGCCAAGCAGACCTTTGCCTTCCAGGTCAGTGCCCTGCAGCATACCCCCGTCCTGAACAGTGTGATGGAAGAGACTCTGAGGCTGGTAGCTGTGCCCACCCTCATCAGGGCAGTGCAGGAAGACTGCACCCTGAAGATGGCCAGTGGGTGTGAGTACCTGCTGCGCCGAGGAGACAGAGTGGCCCTCTTCCCCTACCTGTCTGTGCACATGGACCCTGACATCCACCCCGACCCCTGCACCTTCAAGTACGATCGGTTCCTCAACCCCGATGGCAGCCGGAAAGTGGACTTCTTTAAGGCGGGCAAGAAGATTCACCACTACCTCATGCCTTGGGGCTCAGGCGTGTCCATGTGCCCAGGGAGATTCTTTGCCCTCAGTGAGATGAAGCTATTTGTTCTGCTCATGGTTACGTACTTTGACCTAGAGCTGGTGGACCCCAATACCCCAGTGCCCCCTCTAGAGCCAAGTCGCTGGGGCTTTGGCATCTCACAGCCAAGCTATGAGGTGCGCTTCCGCTACCACCTGAAGCCCATGGACTGAGCTCAGCCAATCCTGGCTAGCAGGGACCCAGGGTCTCCCACCTCTGCTCACCCCTCTGCACTTCCATTACCCTGGCCAACTGCCCCCGCATTGGATTAATTTTTTTTTTGTCTTTTTCCTTTTTATTGGTACCAGGGATCGAACTCACGACTGCCTGCTTGCAAGGCAGGAACTTATGCTGCTGAGCTAAATCCCCAGCCCCATGCCCCCCGCATTGGGTGCCCCTCCTCCTTCTCTTCTGCCTGCCTCATTCTCTGGGTGTCCTGGTCATCGCACAGGACCTCTATAGAGCCATCCTGGGGCAGAACATGCAGTGGAAAGGGAGTGTCTGGGCCAGGTGCATGGAGCGGGAATCCTTGCTTCCCAAGCTCCATGAGTGATGCTGCACCCTGCGAACCTCAGACTCTACCCTCCCACCCTGTTCTGTCCCACATTCTATGCACTTCATGGTCCAGAAAATATTATACTATAGTGAAAGCAAAGGTCCAATTTTAAATTTTTAGTAAACATGTTTTTTCTTTCTTTGTTTCTTTGTCCTGTGGGTGTGAGTGTGTGTGTGTTCGTGTCACTGTGTTTGACACAGGATCTTCCTATGCAGCTTAGGCTAGTGCTGGGCTCACTTTGTAGCCCAGGCTGGTCTTAAATATGCAATGATCTTCAAGCCTCAGACTCCTGAGTGCCAGGATTACAAGTAGACATGGTTTTAAAGAACCAAAAAGCACAAAACTGACTTTCACAATAAATTTAAATACAACTGGGAATTTCTAAATTATTGTATTTTGACATGGGACCCATCTAAGAATATTAACAAAATATTTTGACATTGCCTTTCTTTTGCCCTGCCTTGGAAACAGGGATGTGCTTCACCCCTGAACCAGTGTCCAGCTCCACCCAGCCCATCACAAGGGCTCACAGCCTCTGCCAGCTGGTGGTTGCTTCTGATGTCCTAGGTGCTGAGGGTCTGCATGTGCTGACCTTTTCTGTCATTGGTCCCATGCCCTGCAGGTCGCTGTCCAGCCTCCCTCGTGTACACCACCACATAAGGCTCAGCGGGGTTTCCCAACTCCACATGCCCCATCAGCACACTGCAGACTCAGCTGGGCCCATGCACAGCTCAGGATCCCAGCCAGGCTGTGCCAAGGGCCTCTCCTCTTCCTGGTTTCCCTGCTTCTCTGGCCTGGGTCACCCTCAAGCCATCACTCACAGGAGACATCACAGACATCCTCACTTACTCTCGAGGCCCTCTGGGTAGTTGACATTGTGACCCCAACACCCAGCACCATGACTTTGAAATGTGTCCCCTGTGGTCCACCCCTGCTGCCAGCCAGCTGGCACTGTAGCCCCTCTAGCAATCTCTGCACTGGGCCTGCTGCCCTGAGAGATCACAGCTTGCAGAGGCCCCTTCCACAGCCCTCTGGTTGCCACCCTTTTGCTTTCTGCCTCCTATGACTGTCACCCCTGAGGTTGGAATTGTGCCACAATGTTCCCCAGATTTCCTCACCAATGTAATTTGAGAGGAACACCCCTCGAGCAGGGGCACAGCCCAGCTGCCTGCCCCAGGGCCTGCTGCTCCTGGAAGCCTTTTGGGATGGCTCCTATCCATGCTCCCAGGCCTCCTGTTCCCTGGGTTCCCCTGCCCTCTCTGGAACCCAGCACCTGTCCCGTGTCTTTCTGTACCTTGTCTCCTCCTCCTACCCTGCGTCCTGGCCTGGAACCCACCATGTTGTGAAACCATTTTCATTCTTCTGACCCCAGGTTCCTTGTGTACATTAAATGACAGCACCATGGCTGCCCTGATATGCTGACTGACTCTGTGTCCTGACTCCTCCCCTCATGCCAGGGTCAGGGTGGATATGGGACAGTGCCGCTCTCCAACCATGGGTGCTGAAGTCTGCACCGTGACAAGGACTGTGCACACAGAGCTCACAGGGGCAGCCACATGCACACGCATGCACACACTTATGCACACACAAATGTCCACCCAAGCTGGTGACAACCCTGTTGGTGACCCTGGCATTTCTTCTTTCACCCACCAACATCCCATGCACGAGGTCCTCTGGGTGCCAGGGCATGCCAGTACTTTGTAAGTTGTGCTATCATCCCCCTGGCCTATGAGGAAGACACAGGTCCCTTTGGGCAACACTTCAGGAACTCTAAGGAGAACGTGTCTTTCCTGTCCCAAATCACATAGCACTTTCAGAGCCAGAGCTCCACGCCCAGGAACGAGGGAGTGAGGAGTTTGTCCCATGTAGGGGAGCCTGAGTTCTGGGGGCAGCAGAGAGAGCAGTGCTGGTTCAGGTCCCCTGGGGGACGCCAGGCTCAGGAATCCATGCCATGGGGGCACCAAACAGAGCTCGGGAAAACACAAGCGACTACAGACACTCTTATTGGGGTGCTCCCCCAGGACCACAGACTTCCTGTTCATGGCTATGACAACAGAAGAAAACACAGACCAGAGACACATTTTAATTATAATGGGCATGGAGATGGTCAAAGCCCAGTAATGGGCTAGAACACCAGGCACAGAGTCTGGCTTCATGAGGTTCATAGCACGGTCTGTGTGGGGTCCTGGTGGGCTGGGGGAGGGAAGTGGTGGGGGAGCTGCTGACATGGTGAAGGTTCAAGAATTGAGGTGCACTGAGATTTGGAAAAGCACAGAGGAGCGGATCGTGGCCATCTGTTTCCCTGGGTGTGTGCTGCCTCCCGAGAATGAGCTAGAAGGAGTCTGCAGGGCTTAGCCTCAGCCGTGGTGATCTGGCTTTGGGGGCCTGAACTTCACCGCCTGCTCCTCCCTGCTCTACCACTGGCTTCACCTGAATCTGCCCCAGAGCAGCTGCAGGTTGCATTGCAAGTCAGAAGACCCAAGACAGAGCCTCAGCTCCTATTTGTGCCCATTTATTAACATATTTGCTGTCTTCTTTCTACCACAGAAGACTGGCCCTCAGCCAGACGTGACACTTGATCTTCATTTTCCATCATGTATTCAAAAATGAACAAAGAGTTTTTTTACAAGAGTAAAGAAAAATGAACTCAGCGAACACCTACCACATCCTGAGCACAAAAGGAGATGCAGAGGATGCTGATTTTGCTTTTGGCAGCGTCTCTAGTATCCCATGCCCACTTCCTCTGCATCCTTGATGCCCCCTACAGGCCCCCTCCTCTCCTGGCACCTGGCTCTCCTTCCGTCATGCAAGACAAGTCAGGATGGGACAGGGCACTACGTGGTGCCATGAAGCATTATGTGCTGTAAAAGCTGGGGAGAATCTTGTCACTTTGGCCCAGGTCCTGCCCTCCGGCAGGGGACAGAAACATGGCAATGTGGCAGCCACGGAGAGGAAGCACATAGCCAGCACCTTGGGTCAAGAGGGCAGCCTGACCCCACACGGGAAATGCGTGTATGGGTTTGGGCCACCCTCAGTGCAAGGGCAGGCCAAGTGTGGCCGTGCCCGATTCTGGGGCTGGCCTCTGTCCCCGCCTCTCCTGTGCTATACCATCCCCCGGCCCTCTGAGGCTCAGGGGCTGGAGGAGCTGCCCAGATCACATGCTCCACTGCTTTGGGCTTGCACCTCTGCTCTGTGGGCATGCAGATCCCTTGCTGCCCAATCTCTGGAGCATGGCAGTTGGAGGCTATGGTTGCTGTGTAACGAGCTCAGTGACCCAAAAGCAAAGGATCTCACATGGTCTCACTCTAATCAGAAGAGGTTTATGTGGGGCTACAGGGTTCTTTGGGGGGTGTGGATATTCTAGTCCCAGAATAAGCAGTGTATGACAGAGCAAACCACTAGCTTCATGGGCCAGAAAGCAAAATGCTGTCACCTCACTGCCCACCTATGACCTGCTCTCATGAGAAGGACTCTTGACCCCCATGAGAAGGACTCCCACCAGGCTCTACTGTGCTAACCCTCCCTGGGGACCAGCCCCTTATCTGGGTGTGTGGGGACACTAATCTGAACATCCGTGGTCTCAGTTCCAGGTTCTACCCAGCCTCTACCCATGGGCTCGGAGGGCAGAGCAGCCTAGTGGGGCCATCCCAGAGCCTCCCGGGTGCAGCCCTCAGCCCTGGAACTCACCTGTCATAGGGGCTTGGACAGCGACAGACCAGAAAGGCACATAGGAGCCACAAGGAGACAAGTGGGGTGCAGAAGCAGAGCAGGGGGAGGAAGGACAGGGTGGCGAGGTGTGCGTCAACAGGGCACACACTAGAATCTGGTGCAGGAAGGGAGTCTAAGCCAAGGTCAAGAGGAAAGGCAATGACCACGTTCTTCCTGGCGACATCAGTCCAGGATGGCAGCACCACCAGAAGCTATAGGGAATCAGCCTGGGGTCCCCAGACACAGCCAGGATGTCCCAGCAGTGTGGAGAGCTTGGAGATGCAGCACGTCTGGGGGCAGGTGCCCTGGGAGCCCTTGAAGCATTACCTGGGAACCTGGGCTGTCACTTGGCGGGGAGAGGGTGTGAGAACCAAGGGTGCTGAGTTTGCCCTGGCTGCTGGGCACTCATCAGGGACTAGTATGCAAGTGGATCAGAACCACAGAGGTGATGTGAGCTGGGAAACTACTGTGGCCTGTGCTGTGCCTGCAGGGAAGGAGTGAAAGAGGGCAGAGAACTGGGTCCCAGGCCCTGGCAGTAGGTGTGGGGCCACTCGGGTAGAAGCCCAAGCAAGATGGCCTGGCCCAGTCCTAGTGGCTCCCCACAACCTCCTGTTTCAGGGAGCCCACAGCTGACCCCTGTGCCAGTTCATTCAGGCCGGTCACATCCTCTTGGGCAGTGAGCCTGCTGCTCTCAGATCCCCTAGACAGTGAGGCCTGGGTGGGGCCAGGGCCCAGGCGCCATCTGAGCACAGTGGCCAGCAGAGCCTTCAGGTACTGGCGGAAGCGGCGGCTGCAGAAGGCATAGAGCACGGGGGTGAAGCAGCAGTGCAGGAAGGCCAAGCTCTCGGTCACCTGCATGGCATAATCCAGGTCCCGGCTGACCTGGCAGTCCCCAAAAATCTGCAGGTCCAGGAGCGAGTGCAGGAACAAGGTGAGGTTGTATGGGAACCAGAAGGTGAAGAAGGCCACCACTAGTGCCACCGCCATCCTCAGTGCCCGGCCCAGGCCCCGGGGCTGCAGCCTGACCAGCACACAGCCGATGCGGGAGTAGAAGAAGATCATGGCCAAGAGGGGAAGGAGGAAGCCTAGCAGGTTCTGCTGGAAGCGAAGGAAGAGCTTCCAGGAGGTTCCATGGCCCCCGAAATCTGGGTAACAGCTCCACACGCCTTTGGGGTGCTCGTGTACCTGCACGAAGACCATGTCAGGGACAGAGATGGCCAGCGCCACAGCCCACACCAGGGCGGCAAGGAGCAGGCTCTTGGCCCGGGTCCTCAGCCTGTGCAGGGGCTGGGCATGGACGATCTCCAGGTATTTGTCCAGGCTCATGCAGCTGATGAAGAAAATGCCACTGTAGAAGTTGATGGTGTAGAGGGTGCTCACCATTTTACACAGGAAACTGCCAAAGACCCAGTGCCAGGCCACAGAGATGCCCCAG